GATTGGTTCAAGGTTACTGAGAGGTAGAGGCAGAGTTAAAACGCACATCTATCTAATTCTAAACGTTGTGCTTTGTTCTTGTTTTTTTATGTTTAAACTTTGGCGGGAGCTTTTTTGTTTTGTTTTGTTTTTTGTTTTTAATTCAGGGCCAAAGTCCATTTTTTGAACTGGAAGCCTATGCTTTCAGCAATTTAGTTAATAGTTAATTTTTTTTTAATTTTAATTTAAGGAAATTAAAAACAAAATTTTTTTTAATTTGTCTTACTAGTCAGGCACTCAAATGATTGGCTCAAACCAGCAAGTAAATTATTTTCAAAGTTGTTATACACTATTAGGCTTTAATTTTTGTGATATCCCTGTTCTAACTTACCCTTCAGTGTTGTGTGGTAGATAATTAATATTTAAAACAGCTTTGAGAGTTTATAAAGCAAAAGTTAGAATACTGCAAAATTAGGACTGGGAATTGTTGCATGGAGAAAAATTGCCTTGCGTAAAAGCAATTATTTTAATATGAAAACATCATTCGTTTGGGTATGCTATGTAAATACATTTATATAGATGACACTTCTTATTAAATTCTGGTGTATTCACTGGAAAACACATCGGAAAAATAAACATACTTGGATCTGGTCGCAGTCTTCCCCACGAAGCTCTAAGTGTGTATGGTTAATCGGCAACTCAGATTTTTCATGCTTCTGGCCATTGGTTGACCCTCTTAGAATAATGATTTTAAAGTTAAAGGAGAGAAAGCTCAAGGGGAAAAATAAATATATATGGTCTGACTCTCATATAAATGGCAATGGGCGTCTCAGTCAGGCTTTACAGCTAAACCCATGATGCTTTGCCCAGCTCACGGGAGCTAAAACCTGTACTTTTATACCCAGAATTGTGATCAGATGGGACTTAATTTTGTATGGTCTCAATAAATCTTTCACATAATTACATTAGTCTTTCCATTCATGCACAGTCAGTTTCCAAATGGCAGGATGTATCACAAAAGGAGTAACAGTGATTCTGGGAAGATGGTGACTAGTTGCCTCATCTGAAGGGGTATGATCCCGCTTCTCAGAGGCCCGCCTTCCTCCGGCGCCCTTAGGCCAATTTCAAATGTGACCGATCCTACCTTAGTTCATCCATATTCCCTGGACCTGCTATGCCCCAGAGGGCTTAGATTTATTCATATTGATCTCATCTTGGTTCAGATTTCTGTGTTTGTTTTGGAATGGATTTCCCCCGCCCCCCTCCTCCTCTTTTTCCTTCTTTCCTCTGAACTTCAGGACACCCAATCCTGGCAGTCCCAAACACACTCTTCCAAGAAGCCTAGGCAGCAGTTTCCAAATCAGGGTTTGCTTCACAATCTTCTTGGGGGCACATGTAAAAATTATAGATCTCAGATTTTACTTAATCTGATTGGACTCTTTCCAGCTGCAAAAGGTAGAATGGAAGAATAGCCAGAAAGTGTGTGTGTGTGTGTGTGTGTGTGTGTGTGTGTGTGTATATGCTCATTTATTGCTTATTCAACACATTTTTGAATGGAAGAGGTGCAGTGTGCCAGGCTGTGTACTAGGTGCTGAAGATCCAGATGAAAATAGAAATGACATTTGCCTTTAGGGAGTTTATGGACTGGTAGAAACTAAGTGGGAAAGATGAATGGATAAAGAAAGGTGTTATGGCACAGAGGGAGAATTTAACTCTGCTCATGAAGCTGAAAGGAGCTAATCGTGGACCGGAGTTTGTTTTAGCAAAACAGGACTTTTTCTAAGCCTGTGCAAAGGTTTGGAGATATTAGAGAGATCAGCATGTACTGGGAACTGCCAGTAGTTCCTCGCGTTTGTTTGGGGAATAAGACAAGTAAAAGTGGCTGTAAGTGGTAAAGGAAGAACAGAAGAGAATGTCCCAGAAATACAAGATGTGAGTTACAGACAGTTCACTGAGTGTCTTACCAATGAATGAAAGTGACTCACCCCCACGTATATGCTTTTAATTTCAGGATTCCAGGAATGAATACAAGATCCTAAAAGCTTTCAGAAAGGAAACAATATGTAAAAAGGATTAGTAACCAGAGTAGCATCAGACTGCTGTACAGCCACGTTAGGAACTAGAAGACTATGAGCAATCCTTTTGAAATTATAAGGAAAATTATTTCCTACCTAGCATTGAATACCCAAACAGGCTTCCAAATCAAGACATTTTGAGACACACAGACTCTCAGAAAAAAAAAAAATTATATCCTGGGCATTCTATTCAGGTAGCTAATGGGAGATGTGCACTGTCAACACAAGAAGGGAAACCAAGAAATAGAAGCCGGGAGATCCAGGGAGAGGGGTTCCCACTGGGGCACATGTAAAGGGAATGCTGCTGAGGATGGTGGAGGAAGTCCCAGTCCACGGCAGGCCAGACTGAAGCAAGATGAAGGGTATAGGAGGAAGGTCTCCAAGAAAAAAATAAAACCCCTCCCTCCAAAAAATTTTCCTGATGTTTTTACTTTATGAAAGTAGTTTTGTGGTTCTTCGGAGAGTTTGATGAGGTTAATAAAGTGTTAGCTGTGTAAAAAGCTAAGCAAACAGCAAAAGCTAAAACAGAGCAACTAATAATTAGGAGAAACAAAAAATTACCTAAGAAAGGAACCCTCCTTGAATCCTGGAAACTTTACTTTGTCAGACTGTGAACCGTGAATGTTAACTGTTACAATGTAGTTGGAAGCTGGGAGGATTTGGCAAGTGTGACATTTTTGTATGCAAAAAGGTAATGGGTGTTATACGAAAACGGAAATCCTTATCTTCCACAGGGAGAAGTTAATAGATTATATCTAAAATGGAGCAATCAAGAAATAGCAATATAAATACATTTTTTAGAAATATGGAGGTAAATACCAGAAGAAAAAGCTAAAGGAGTTGAAATTCGTTCCCTCTAGAAGAGAGAATTGGGTAGGGGAGGGGTGGGGCAGGGAAGTGAGTTCTAGTTTCCCTTATAAGCCTGCAGTTATATTTTTTTAATACTTTGATAAAAAATAATGATTCTTAAAAATACACAACTGGCATCTGTCACACTGAGTGAACCTTGCAAGTGGTGCTTTGCATTTCATTGGACAAACTTTTTAGCTTGCACATTCTATGTACCTACCTTTGGCATATTCCTAAATTTTATCCACACTTTCTTCTTTTCTGTGATTCACTGAATAAGAATGGAAGCAAAAGCTAGTAAGGTAAACTGTTGACTCAAATATGTGTTTGGACTGATACTATGGTTCCCCCCCGACCCCCGTATTTTTAGGTAGGCTCTAAGCTATACCTTTTAAACTTTAGAGGATAAACAGTCCTGTCTCTTGCCTTCTCCTCAAAGTAGGGCAGAGTTTGATTTCATGTAAGAAATCTTCAGTGACCTGATGTTCCTAAAATGAGATTGCTAGTCATCTGCACAGTAAGATCTCTGAACTGACTGTTTACATCACTCAGAAGAGCTTCAAGTTGTTTATAAAGAAATTTTGTCAGTTTATATACATACAAACTGCCCCTCAACCTTTTTATTTTGAAAATGATCGAACTCCCACAGAAAAATGAGAAGAGTCATAAAACGCCCATATAACTTTCACATAGATTTGTTGGTTTTCTTAACATTTTGCCACATTTGCTTTCTCTCTATACCCACACAGTTTTTTGAGGGTGAGGGGGATTTGAACCATTTTAAATTAATTTGTAGATACCATACTTTAATACGTCTCCTAGTATATCTCTCAAGAACAGGGCATCCTCATACAAAACCAAAATACCATTATTTGCCATGGATAATGTAATATTATCTAATAGTTAATATTCAGATTTCCCTAAAATCCCAATAATAACCTTCTGTAGATTTTTTTTCATCCAGATTCTAGTCAGTGATCATGCATTACATTTAGTCATCATATTTCTTTAAATCCTCTGCATCCTGGAAGTTTCCCTGCTTTTTAAAAAAAATCTTTCATGACATTGACAATTATGAGGAACCCAGGTCAGTTGTTTTGGAAACTGTCCTATACTTAGGAATTTGTCTTTTTGCTCCCTCATAAGATTTTGGTTTTCAATTTTGGCAAGAACATGTATATAAACTTTTTATCCACCTGCTTTTTTATGGCAGCTCCAAATTGTAGTCCTTTGTTTTCTTGTTTGTGTGTTTTTGTTTTGTTTTTCCTGCTAATCTGGTTTGGCAGGGGGTATGAAGGATGACCACTTACCTGGGGGCTAGGAAAGCACCTTCGATTGCAGAAAATATCACTGTAATAACCTCTGGGAGGGCAAATCTGTTCCTCTGGAAACAAGCATAATATTTTTTAAAAAATATTCTTGGCAGAGTCCTTTGGATGACTTAATATATTGTAATCAAGGGCAAATTTTCTACTCTTTAATTAAGTTTCTGCTACAGTATACAATCCAGGGAGCCACTTCGGAGAACACTTGGCCAGTTTTCCTATCATCCCTAAACTGAACGTTTTTTTGCTTTTGGAATCTAAATGCTGAGTATGTTTAATGTGTGGCGTTTTGGCTCTCCTCGCGTCAGGATGCTCCGTTGCTTAGGTTATGTGTATTTTGCGTGAAGTGAGCACAACGCGGGGAGGTGGCGTGCCTCAGATGCCAGAAGAGCTATGCAAGCTTGCCGTTGTTGAAAGCATGCTTCCCGTTTGTCAGGGCTTCGAGATAGCAGACCTGGTGACACAGTAGCCTTTAGGCAGAGCTGCTGTGGCTGTGCAGGCAGTGCCGCTACAGGTTTTGTCGCTGGGGGGAAATCTGAGCCATTTCTCTGTGGACAGCTGTGTTTCAGAGCCTGGGCAAGTTGCTGTTGAATTTTGCACAGGCTGCCAGGGTAAGTGTTTTCACTTTGATTTGTTTATAGTCATGGTTTTCCTTTCCCTGAGTCATCGAGGTTCTTTCTGGAAGTTTCACAGGACTCGTTCTACGTTATCTAAAGTGGGACTCATTTGAATGTATTTGTAACCCAGCTTTTCTTTCTCTTTCTGTCTGCAGGTTTTGTGGAAGTATACTACTGTGTCATTATGCAATGTCGTCTCTCGGTACCTCCTTTGTGCAAATTAAATTTGATGACTTGCAGTTTTTTGAAAACTGCGGCGGAGGAAGTTTCGGGAGTGTCTATCGAGCCAAATGGATATCCCAGGACAAGGAGGTGGCTGTGAAGAAGCTACTCAAAATAGAGAAAGAGGTAAGGTCTTTTGCCACTATCAGAAATGGTCACACTAGCACTTATGTAAGCTTTTCAACCCAGAGTCAGAGGCCACAGGCTGCCAGGGACCCAGAAGTGCCTTTGGGGCTGATGCACAAGGCCCTTTCCCAATTTCCATTCCAGGAGCCCCATAAATAGAAATTATTGCCGTGTGTGCTTTAGAGTTGAGGTCTACTAGGGGTCATCTGAACTGAGAGGATTTCTTTCCATGGCATGAAAGACCGAATGTGCTGTGTGTGAGCTCTCCTCTAGGGGAGGTAAGATTTCAGACCTTTCCTATTCCCTAGTTGAGCCAAGAGGGGTCAGCAAAGAGTCCTGTGGCAAATTTTCATCCCCTCTCTACTTTTCTGTTGAATTTGTAGTCATTAGGAGATGTCTTTTAGAAAATAAAAAGCAATTCCTACTGAAATACAAGCGATACCAGCTTCTTGGATTTTACCTCTACTTGAAGCCAGAAGTGATGAACTTTGTTTAATAAAGAATGAACAGATGCTAGACAGAGCAGCCCTACTGGTAAAATCAAAGAAGGGTGTTTGTTAGCTTTCGGAGTCTGGGATTTGTGCTGGTTGTAGTCAAGCACAAAACTCATAGGCCCTTCATTTTTCTTAGCAGTGTGATACAACCTCACTCCCAGATTCGGTTTGGTACCTGGAGGATAAAGCTAATTGTCAAGCTGACCTGCAGGAGCTCAGTGGCGTCAATAACGTTTAATAGCTACCCTCTGGAACTTTCTATTTGTATGGTATTTCTGTTTATGTCCTGTTTTGGCTAATTATTGTTCTTTTCGGTATCTTTTTGAAGTGAACTTTCCTATAAATATCTTCTAATCTCTTAGAATGATTTCATTTTTTTTCCTATTAATTGCTGCCAGTGAACCATAGTAATTGATTAGAGAAGGAAACCCAAACGGCAGCCACTTCGTGGCGTCTCCTCCCAGCAGCGCTGTGCGATCATGTGATCTCCAGCTGTGTTTCTAGTTGTTGAAGTCAGGTCAGAGGACTGAGGTACCTCTGCCTGGGGGTACCTATAGGTTGTGGAAAGCTTAGGAAGCAATCGCTTTTAAAGCCAATGTGTGCACAAAACAGAAGGGTCCTATACAGAAAAAGTTGCCTCCTCATTTCTTGATCAACACATTTTTTTAATAGTAGCCAAATAAGAAAACCGTTTCTTAGTCTGGACTGAACCCAGCTTCTTTTATCTAGCAAACTCTTAAAGCCTTTATAGGCAAGCATTACAATACCCTTTCTATAAAGAGAAATAGAGCTTTGAGAAATGTATTGAGCCTGCCCTAGGAGGGGCAAGGGAAACCCAGGAGATCAGACCCTCTTGTTCTTTATGTTTTTAACTCTGAAACCTCTAGTTGACCAGGTTAGAATAGAAAATAAACCAGTTGCATCAAATTTTAGTCGAAGAAGTCTATGTGTGCTAATATTTTTAAATAGTAGGTCATGCAACTTCAGTACAACATACATGTTCTTATATGATTGTTGGATGTGAGACCATGAAACAGATTTTGATAGAAAAACAATAATTGCAACCCATTCACTCTACCCCCACCCATACTTAATACCTTTTTCACCATCTTTGAGAGCCAGGAAAATGATATAGGAAAGCAGAGGGGTGAAAACTGGCAGGTCCTGCCCTGGCATAGGCATTTAACCTGAGTGGGTATTGTTTGGGAATTGAGTTGATTACAGTAAACTGCAGGAGCATAAGTCATAAACATGTAAGTGGAGAAAACAGAACTTCGTTTCAGATTTGGGGCTTGGTTTAGTCAGTGATTGTCAGTGATAAAGAGACATGGTCAATTATTGCAAAGCAATATTGCATCTCCATGTTTACTGAGTCAACATGAGTTTAGGATGTAGAAAATTTTGGCTAGGGGTTGGCAGTTATTGAAAAGGTATTGGCGTTCCTTGTATAAATTTTTGTTGCACTTTATGAACTGTGTATTGGCTTGCTGGCTAGGTGTTTTCTCAGTGGTAAGATAAAGGTAATAAAGGTAATAATCTCTGGATTTTCTTTTAATTTGTAGATTCAATCCTGTATCAGTTGGTCATTTTTGCCAATGAGTTTCAGAAACAATGGGACATTTAATAATATGTTTGTATCTCACTCATGTAAGTCTTTAAGAATGACCAGGTATCTGATTAAATATACGTTTTTATAAACTTAGTGAAAGATAAAATATATACCAAACTCTTTAACTTTGCTTATTTGAGAGGATAGAGGAAGACTATTTATTTTCATCTTATTTGTAGACCTCTAGTCTTGTGAGTGTTGCTTTCCTCTGGTTTAATGAGTATATTACTTTTCTAATTTAGAAAAAAATAAAGAAAAATAGCATTTACTTAAAATCTTGATAGTTCTTAAAAACTTTATTTTTAAAAAAACTTTTACACCTAGGGAAAACCTATAAGAATAGTACCATGAACTCTAGCATATGCTTTCCCTAAGATCATCAGTTATTAACATTTTACGACATTCGCTTTCTCTCTATATAGTGTGTTTTTTATTTATATGTATCCATATGTATTTTATTATTTTTGCTAAACCATGAGATTAAATTGCATATGCTGTCTACCTTTATCCCTAAATACTTTAGTATCTTCCAAGAATACAACCATAATATACAACTATTAAATTGAGGAAATTTAACATTGACACAATAATATTACCTGTTATACAGTCTATATTCAAATTTTGTCTGTTGTCCCAATGATGCTTTTTATGACAGTTTTTTCCCAGCCCAGGATCTAATCCAGGATCACGTACTGCATTTAGTAGACATATCTGTTTAGTCTGCTTTAATCGGTAACAGTTTCTCTGCCTTTCTTTGTCTTTTAAACATTGACATTTTTAAAGAGTGCAGGACGGTTTTGTAGCGTGTCCCTCATTTGGGGTTTATCTTATTCTCCCTCCCTCTTGCCTGGTTTAAGGTTACGTAGTTTGGGTAGGAATGCCACATAGGTCATGTGTCCTTGGTGTATTTTAATGAGAAACCCACGGTGTACCATACTTGTGATATTAATTTTCAACACAATAAGGGGGCTCACCCAATTTGTTCACAGTAAAAATTTATTTTCCCTTAGTAGTTACTAATTAGGCTGTTGGTAGATACTTTGAGGCTATGTAAATATCTTCCCTTGACAAATATTACCCAATGTTATTAGCATCCATTGGTGATTCTTGTTTGAATCAAATATTATTATGACAGTTACTCTGTAGAAATCAAAAAGTTCTAGCATAAATGAGTCTTCCTTTTCTCACTTATTTATTCATCCATTTGTTCATTTATTTCTTGTTTCATTGTAGACTAATGGATTCCTTTTCAAATTCAAAATGTTATAGTCCAGTATTATTGTTTTTTACTTTCATGCTTAAATTGTCCCCAAGTAAGAGCCCCTCAAGTTGGCTCTTGTGTCCTTTTGGTATGTCTTTATCATCACTTTTTAGCATTTCCTTTGTGGCACAAAAAGCTGCTCCAGGATCATCTAGTTGCTGTTCCATTCCTGGAGTCAGCCATTTCTGTAAGAAACCATGATTCAGGGTGTGTGATATGGGAATGTGATATTTAGAAACCAAGATTTGGATACTAGGTTTGCTTATTGTAGACATTAAAAAAAAAAAAAGAGGCTTTGTTCTTTTGAGAGAAAGAGTGGGTATAGATAAATTTTATTTATGGAAGCATTTAATTTAAAATTTAATATCATACATCTGGTCCTATTAGGAATGTAAATTGGTAAACTTTTTGGAGAACAGTTTAGCAAAATATATCAAAAATCTTAAAATATTTACTTCCTTTGACTCAGAAATTTTACTTCTGGGACTTTATTGTAGGAAGTAGGAAATAATAGTGATGTGCAGAAATATGGATATAATAGGCTGCTTGGCGTCTGTATGATGTTTTTATTTTTCTTATATTTTCCATATTTTTCAATGATGATCTCATATTTTTCCCCCAACATTTTATTATGAAAATTTTCAAAAATAAAGTTGAAAGGGTTTTATAGTGAACATCTGTATATCTACCATCTAGGGTCTGTCATTAACATAAATACTTGCTTTATCACATATCTATCCAGCTGTGTATCCTTTCATCCATCAATCCACGCTGATGCATTTCAGGCTAAATTACAGGTATCAATACATTTCCCCTTAAGTTTCTGTAAATCATGAATATTCTTACCAGAGTTCAGTATGTGTTTACAGTTTTTTTTCCTTTTGACATACAATGAAATGCACATATCACTAAGTTTTGACAAATGTGAACACCGTGTGACCCATATATTTACTTTTATAATCAGAAAAAAACTCAATTAAAAAAATTATAGCTCCGGTAATCTGTGGCACTTTCTAAGGATAGTCAAGTGAATTGAGTTTTATAAACCTCTTTAGTACGTCACAAATCACTCATTTTCCAGTTTCAGTATGTGCCTCTAAAATGTTTACTTTTCCATAGCAGTGCTATAGGATTTTCAGTGGTAACTTAGCTTCTGTGTGTTAATTGCAGATTACTTACAGTGCACTATTTATTTTTGTTTAAAAACAGAAGTTTTCAACAGGGAAAAATATATATGATCTTAAGGATGTATAGGTAAGAGAATAAACCATTGTTGTATCTTTTTGGTAAATTCCAGTTGAGCTGAGATCCAATCAAATTGCAACCAAATTGCTTAGGTAGAAATTGAAGCAAGGACTGAGGAGGACAAGGAAGGACCTTGTGGATCATGTGTTCCCTTTCCAGTTCCTACGGACTGAGAGGAGAATAGCCCCCACACAACAAGGGGCTCCTCAGCTTCACAACGCGGACTGTTAGACAGGGTTAATCAGACCGGCTGCATTTTACTCTTGCAGCACATTTCATGATGTGTTAAACCAGACGTGTCTGTACATAGTATTTTTTTCTGCCTGAGAGATGGAAACCTGGAAGCATTTGTGTTAACATGAGATTGGTTGATATTCCACTGATAGTAGGA